GGGGTTCTTTAACGTGCACCCAAATCTGAGTACACGGGCCTATAACATTTCCGCCTCCATCGGAAATGCAAGCCGCCGCAGCAGGGATTTGAACCCGCGACCTGCGGCTCAGTAGCCGAGTACCTTAGCCACGAGACCACCGCGGCGGGGCTGCATTTCCGCGGTAATGAAAACCGGCGGGAAATTTCATTTAGTACTATGAAATACAGGAGAAAAGAAAATATTGGCTGAAGCGACTATGAGACATCGGTACCACATAAATGTGGACATAAAACTGGAACACGACACGCTGAATTGCGCATCTTCCTTGCGCTCTTCCGGGTTCATTTTCTGTTCTGGTTTATTATTATTATTATTATTATTATTATTATTATTATTATTTACAATTGCAAGAAACAAGAAAGTGTGTTTTTTGTTCTGATGAAAGCGATAAAGCTATCTCTATACGAAAAAAGATAGTAGACCGCCTCTAATGGTATACGCGTATATGGTGCTTTGCTGCTGGCACGAGAGTCACGCTACAGTGAAATACAGTCACGTGTTCGCTCCCGGCCACGGCAGTTTCCATTAATTGAAGACATAATAACAGAGACCCGGGTACTGTGCGATCGGTGCATGTTAGAGACCAACAGGCACTCAGAATATTCTTATCCCTTCGCTATACAGCGTCTCTCATGATCATTTCGTGGTTTTTTTGGATATTAAGCCCCAGGTATTATTACCATATTGCAATTACTTCCCTCGTCACCACGTGTATAAGAATATTAAATAACGTTATTAAACGATCTGAAATGAGGGGCAACTTCAATTTAGCCAGCAGTTATCGTTTATGAGTGCTTCAACGCGCTTGCTTGACCCAACGTGGCTTACATTACACTCCATGCGTTTTAGATTAGCACTGCACGCCGTGTTTGTCAAACGACCGCATTCTTGCGATTCTTTGTTTGCTTCCCACGCTGGTTGACCTCCCGCTCTTGAGCCTCGTATAACGACAGATGCGGGCGAGTTACGCGGGTAATGGACAGTGCTGTTTGCCCAGACTCGAAGTGAAGCCTCGAAAAAAACATGCCTCTCGTTGTAGGTGACCTGAGGTGTGTCTGGTCGTACAGCTTTCCCGCAGCTCAGTCATTTCGGAGTATTCGACTATGCGAATCCAACCCAAGAGGTCACTGCTCCCGTGGTCTTGATCGTCGATCGAGGCAGTCTATTTTGTATTGTTGGATTATCCTTCCAACTGCTTGCTTGTTTGCTCTCGATGTGCTCATCTGTTGCACGCTTACTTTTGTTTCCGTATTATTTTCATTTGCCTGCTTCCCCCTCGTGTAGGGTAACAAACCAGCTGTCTTGCTTCTCGTTAACGTCGGTACTTGGCCTTGTCTCTGTCTTTTCCATAAGATCAATTGTGCAATGTTGGGTTTAAAGTACAGCGCTGAAATGAAATCCAGGACCTGTATTCGGAAGACAATTTTACGTGGATTTTTAAACAAAAAAAAAAAGCAACCAGGAGTACTAGCGGACATACCATTATTGAGCGCACTCAACCAATGGCAAATGTCGCTAATTAAAAGCTTCTCGAATGACACTCATGGAGGCCCAATCTGTAGCCCATTCTAACGAAGCATGTGCACAGATGGGAAAGCCTAAAGTGTGTAATGTACAACAGTGCTATACTATGCGATACTATATTATACCATACAACACCTAGAGTACATGTACTTTGAAAGAAGCCTTGCTAAGGTGGCAAATAGGTACAGCATATTCTTGTACTGCTTTAGGGTAAATCAGTTTGTGCACGAAGAAATGGCTCCTAACCAAAGTGACTTATTGCGTTGATAACGTCATTGCTTATGTTCCTTTTCTTGATGCTTGAACTGCGCTACGATAAACCAATACTAGACATTAGAAAAAAAAGTCATTACGGCCGTTCAGCGCAATGCGAAACGGCGTGCCGAATATAAACAAACACGGCCGAACTGGCGTTCACACTGCCAAATGGCTCCCATTCATATCGTATTTTCGCAGCCGCTTTCACCTGCTTTCAACTGTCGCCGACTGCAAAAGCCAACTGTAGCGAAACGCGAGTACAGGGCAACTAAGCCCGCGAAGCAGCTGTAACCATTCTTTGTATTTCTCATACACGCAAAACGCGCCAAATGTGTACACATACAGGCCGCAGCTCTGCCCGGAGAGTGTGTGTGTTTGTGTGGTATAAGCGAAGAATACAAATTTGTGTTTGCCCCGTTGCTTCCGCCGTGCCAGCATTTCGGTATTAGCCGATATTTCACGGCGGAAGAAGATGCGCCCCTGTGCCTTCGTCCCGTTGTTTGTCAAGTTCCGGCTTCCGGCGCCGCCACTCGAACAGCCTCGTTTATTTCCGAAAGCGTGTTTCCGTTCCTCTCACCACTTCGCACCGCAGTGAGGTGCCTATATTTCTCGATCTTCCTTCGCTGTTTATTTTGTGTTTCTTTTCTCGTTTTCCCACCGTTCGCTACTTTTTTTTTCTCACTCGCTTCGGCCTTCTTGCCCTCATCGTAGAATAGTGCTTTCCTCGGAGCTGTTGCCTCAGTCTGAAGGCGAAATTTCTCATTTTGGTTTCCTGTATACGATGGTCGAATCGCAGAGGACTTCACTGGAACATTACCTTTTCTTGTTCGGGCTTTCTTTCTTGCTCCTGCCGAAGTATCCGCGTTCACTTTATACATCGTGGTTTCACCTACGCGCCTGCCTTTCATTCGCTTTTGTTTCATCTGTGCTATTCTTTATATTTTCTTTTCTTTCTTGTCTTTAATGCGAGAGCACTAGTCTTCTTTTAAGAGTGTGCACCGTCGTACGTCTTTACCTGTTCCGGCATTTTTTCTCTTCTTTTTGTTCACGGTCTCACGCTCTCTCAGTTTCGCAATCTGCACACGCCGCCCCTCTCCCACTCACCCTGCGGTTTTTTTTTAATGCTGCTGCAAAGCGTTTTCTCGCCATTCCATTTCCGCAAATGGAGTTTCCTTTTTCACTCGATACATTTTCCCCTTCCTATCTCTGTTGTACCACCAAAGAACCTTTATTGCGCGCTACGTTCTTCATCGCTGAATTTTCATGTCTGAAAAACTTCCTGTAGCACCTCCCTTATGTCTACGACATGCTTTATTGTTGTTGTTCCAATATGATTCACGTTTTGCATACGCCAATATGCCAACGTTAGCTCCCCGTGGTGTCAATTTCGTCTCATTTCACCTATTTGCTTATGCATCGATTCATTCACTTGTACACGATTTGGAAACTGCGAGGGCAGGTTACTGGTGCTTTAATAGCTAAATAGTTAAAACATGCAGCTCCCAGTTTCTCCGCACTGGTGAAGCAGTCAAGTTATAGCAAGAAAATACATCGTTATTCGAAGTAAGGTGGGCAGCTCATTCCTTAAGCAATCCACGTGGCGTAAAAACGCTGGCATCGCCAACAAGGCTACGCCTTTGCGAGCGACATACATGGCCACAGCTCACATTCACGACTCCGGACGTAGGCCTAGCTAGGCCGACGATCTCGGTAGCACCGCTCGCTTTCCAACGTGACTTCAATGTCGAGCGCGTCCTTTTGCCAGCACGATAAATGATTGATTGGTATGTTCGGTTTAACGTCCCAAAACCACCATATGATTATGAGAGACACCTTAGTGGAGGGCTCCGGAAATTCCGACTACCTGGGGTTCTTTAACGTGCGCCTGAATCTGAGCACACGGGCCTACAGCATTTCCGCCACCATAGGAAATGCAGCCGTCGCAGCCGGGATTCGACCCCGCGACCTGCGGGTCAGCAGCCGAGCACCTTAGCCACTATAGACCACCGCGGCGGGGCTCCAACACGATAAACACTTGTACATTCATATGAAACTTTCATACGCGCAACTGTTGCATTCGACGGCCTCGATGCTCTCACCGTTGCTCTTTAGCTAAGGCGGGAACAAACCAGGCTGGTTCACTAAGACGGCCGGTGCCACTGTTTATCTACGAAATGAGCTTCAATCATGGCTGGATATCTCGTTCGTGGTTAAGAGATAGAGAGAGAGGAAGGCCGGGAGGTTTGGCAATGGACGTCGTGTAGCAGAAACAGCACACTTCAATCATCACTTTATTTCAATCATATCTTATTTTACATCAGAAAGAGTTCAACCAATGTTTTTCATGCCACCGGCAACGGTTATATCCACAAATACCAGGGCCATCAAGGTTATCGTAGCCATTTGAGCATCGAAGAATGAACTAGAGATGGGTGCCCACCAGTGGCGCCCCATGTCGCGCTCCCGCGCTGCCAATGGCTGCAGCCACCAGACTGGTGCGATTGCCGCGCGGCTACATTTAGCAAGTTAGATGCCCGCGCGGAATCGTCACCGCATACTGTTGGAACCTGTTGGACGTCGGTTGAATGCGGCTGCTGGTACGAACAGCCGTTCGGCAAATCGCATCCAAATCCGTAACACGTGTCCGAATCCGTACCACGTGTCCAGCACTTGACTCGTAGAAAATACATTACAGAAGGCCCTAACTGTCTGCAGCTAAGTGCGACACCTCAGCAGTGGTTCACATGGGAAGGGGAATGGGGGATAATAGACTTGAGCGAAGAGAGGAAAGAGAAAGGAGAGAGCGAAGAGGAAAAAGGCACCTAATTTCTGTCTGCCTTCAGGCGACACGGCGCAGTGCCTTATAGGGGTGGGGAGAAGGAGGGATAAAAAGGAATAGAAGGAAAGTAGAAGCAGAAGACAGCCAACGAGAGGAAAAAAGAAGGAGATAGGAAAGTGGGGATCCGGTCGAAGCAGTCCAAGGGCGGGGTGCCACAATGCGAGAGCTACACGGCGTCAGGAGACCGCGGAGGGCGAACCAGTCGGCGGGAGCTACGCTGAAGTCGGAGATCGCGAGGGCACAACCGTCCAGCTTGAAATCCTGCGAGCGAAATCCGTTTGTTGCGGTGACGCTCCCTCTTTTCCTAACTGCTTCGATGTCACCCTGACTCACGCAGAGGTGTTCAGCTCCCTCATGGTTCCCGAACCTGGAGTGAAGGAGACGCTGGGAAGCGGAGGCGTCGCCGCTATTTCACCGTCCAGGACGGATATCCACGTCACGGTCATGTTCAACGGAACATTCTCTCCGACAGGTGAGCCCGCAAGAATCGCAACAATAACAAAAACGTGCAAGTTCAAGAAATATTACGTACACCTTCAGCTAAGAGAAAGTTCTATTTACCCTTGTTCCAAGGTACAATAATATTTTACGTCGAGCTCTTGTTCACCATTTTTTGCCATTTTTTTGTGATGAGTTATCTTTGCACTCTTCCTAGCACGTTTAGTTGACAGGTGGATACAACGAAGAGGTAGTGGAAATATGTGTAGTACTTAAAGCATATTTTGTTACTACGTGGTGATGAAACAGCTTTCCTCCACGTGATCTTAAAATAAAGCAGAACCGCCAGCATTGATCCCTATTTCTGTCTGCAGTACACATTACTTAGTTCATGACTCATGACTGCCACTTCTTTGCCGCTACTGATGCGGGCCGATGACTTGAACGCTATAGAGCAAATTGAAGTCAGAGAGTAAGAACATGGTAATATGATAAAGAAAATTCAAGCAGTTAGGCAGAATGATTGGTGAAGTAACAATGAAGACCTTACGCCGCAGTGGGCGCAGTTAAGCTGCTGTTTCTGCTAATCATGATTATGAATAAGAGGAGTTAGTTTACTGTCGTACATTGCAGAAAAGGTGGGGAGGTGGGGAATGATGGATCATAGCAGTTGTATGCGAAAAAAAATGTACAATTTGAGACGAAAAAAAAAAAACACAAGCCACTGTGCGGAATTGCAGTATTAGAATACTTATTTATTCGTGTATCTAAAGACCCGAGGGCTGTAAATAGGGGGGGGGGGGGGTTATAGTACACATACATAGAATCAACACAAGCACAAAAGTAAGATATGACGGAGAGTGTTCTAAATATTTTCGCAAATAAAAAAAATCTTCTTAAGACGCAGCTCAGCGTGCTTGTTGGCCTAAAACACCGCGTCAAATTGTAAATGTGAAACGTGTAGAGCAAGCCAAAAGTTCAGAAGTAAACTACATTTAGGGGTGCTTCAAGTGTTATATATTGTTACCTGTTTTGTTATAGGTGCATCATCGCTTCCATTTCTTTCCTCTTTTTTTTTCAGACGCCAGAGACGTGGTCGTCAAGCTAAGCCTCTTAGCTGGCAAGCCCACTGAGCCGACCGTGGTGGCCAGTTCTGAAATAACGCTGCCGAAAATCCACTTCGTAAGTATACCGCTGTCCGTTGACATGACTCCCAACATATTTGTTGCCTCCGTATGTTTTAGCGCTGTAGTAATTCTGTTTCAACTTCATTTCTTAAATTCTAAAAATACCTCGTGCCCTGTCAATGGTTAAGCATTCAGCAATTGTCAGCATTTGCTATTGAACCTGCAGTTTTGTTGTGGTGCTGTATTCAGCAAAGGCAGATACAAGTTGAAATACAAAGTTCTTCCTATCATTGGCAACGCAAGTAAAAGGGGCGATGAGAATAAAGTAGACGTACTGATGGAAACTGAAAGTTCGTGAAGCATAAGAAAACCATAGGTACCTAGTAACACAGGAAAAGGGAGATGGGAGCGAAGCTTTAAAGCATGACTGAACAGTCTCAATATACTGAAAATACGAAGTTCTTTTAGATTTAATCATCTCTGAACTTCTGACGCCGATTGTGCATGCCGAATCCAAAATAATTGCCGCAATACAGGACAGTGTGTTACAATAATGAAAAAATTAATACTTACGAAACATTTTTTTCGTACCTCGCAGTCGCTTAACACGGCCAGCGTGAAGCTGACCCTGGCTCCGGAGCAGCAGCCGCTGCTGGTTGCCGGCAAACTGAGCATGCGCCTGACGTCACCCGACGGAAGGCGTCACATCGAAGGACCCGTGATCGTGAGGCCGACCTGCAACAGTTGAGTGCAACGGGCTTTAATTAAAGGCCAATTTATTCGAGATTCCGTCAACGCACGCGACAAGTTAAAATGCGCGTCGTTGAGCGAATGCACCGAAAAAGACGATGAGTGTTCTCTTTTGCCATTTGTTTCTCGCTCTTTAGTTTTTCAAGCTGTTCTGACAGCGGAGACGTCGAACTCCGGCTTCGCAGTGCTCAACGTCAACCATGACGGATCAATATCATATCAGGTAAGTCTCGCGGTTTAATATGTGCTTTTGTTTAATTCACGTTTAGTTTTATTGATCAGTTTACGTAAACTACAGGAACACAATATCGAATCGCAAAAATCAGTTCGGTCTTGTTAACTACGCTTTCAAAATATTATTTTATATGGTATTTCGCGTAAAACAATACGCATGGGCCACTGCTAACAAAACTGCCCTTAGGTACAAAATGTTTGTGAGGGAATATTTCAGTCAATTGGGAGGCTGAATATAACATTATAAAAGGCAGTTGAACCAACGGCAAAAAAAAAAAAACCCCGCTTACGAAAGAAAGGCTTTGTAAACTGTTCTTTTGATTATCTCTCGATCACACTCTTATATCGCTTTCCCTTCGAAAGTTCGTGTGTTTCTGGTCATTTATTTATTAAAAAAACACTTCTTATCGTCAAAGGCTGTCGTGGTATTCACAAGTGGCCAGCAATGAACATTTTTTTTGCTATATCAAAAGAAAACATGACAATCCAGTTCACTTTTTTTCAGACCTAAGAATGTCGTTTCGACGTATTCTTCAGAGTACTTAAAGTGCAAGTGAGCTTAAATGACGATTATTATTATTATTATTATTATTATTATTATTATTATTATTATTATTATTATTGCAGGCGTACGCCTCCGGGATGAACAGCGCGCCCATGGTGGTCGTCCTGGAAACGGACAGCCCGGCGGACAACGAGGTCAGAACCATGGCTGCATCGTACAACCCGCCGTTCGCGTACCACTGGGTCAGTGCCTCGGGACCGATCTCATTGCGCATAAATCTGCTTGAAGCAGTTGATCTGTTCTTGAAGCATATTTCAGTGCGAGAAGAAACAAAACAACCATAATGTCGACGCTAAAGCAGGGTGTCCTCGTTACCAGACGCTTTGTTTTCGTCTTGGTGAAGTAAGCCAAAGTGCACGTTGCGCGAGCTTTTTTTTTTTAATAACCAGGATTTATATTCAATCGCCAACACCAGTTTTCTCAGTTATTTGTAGTTAGCCATCTCGTCCTAATCCCCTAGCTGTCAATTAGCTGGTGCGGAGGGTCACATTGGGCTATACATCAAAGGCATACATACTTACTACTAGGCCATTAGGAACACACCATTGGCATTCGTCCGCAGAATAGGGGAGCTCAATTATCCTCAGTCGAGAACTCCATCTCGCACTTAGGGCTCATTCGAACTCGCCAAAATTTCGCAGAACCAACTTCTCGCGAACTCCCACTCACTAATTTTCTTTTTTCGACCAGTCTGGCCAAAATTTTTCTCATCCAAACTTGGGCTCACTAAAAATCGTTTCAATCGGACTCACTTGGTCTAAGATTCACGGCTCGTTCTGAGCGAGTGAACTCATGAGAGAGGTTGTCGACGTGTGAGTATTGTTGAGAGGGACATTGACATAACACTAAAGTGTATTATCAGAACAATTATCGATTGTATAATAATACGGCTGTGAAAAGGGGGACGGCGCAATCTGAAGCGCTGACAACGTTTTCTTCATTCATCATCAGATGCATTGACTGGCAAATATAGGCTCAATTTTTTACAAAAATCAGTAACAAAACCATTAGAGCCAGCTGGACGGTGCTGATGCCTACCGCGCTTGAATCTAAAATGACGTGCGTGTAAGAAAATTGATACTACAGTGAGAAAAAACTAAGAACTCTAAACAAAGATTTTTTTCGTGTCGATTTTGTTTTGCAGGCTGACGACATGTTCTGTTCGCCTATGTCGCTATGCCTCGCACTTTTCGTAACGTTTTCCCCGCCGCGGTGGTCTAGTGGCTAAGGTACTCTGCTGCCGACCCACAGGTCGCGGGATCGAATTCCGGCTGTGGTGGCTGCATTTCCAGGTGGAGGCGGAAATGTTGTAGGCCCGTGTGTTCAGATGTGGGTGCACGTTTAAAAACCCCAAGTGGTCAAAATTTTAGAAGCCCTCCACTACGGCGTCTCTCATAATCATAAGGTGGTTTTGGGACGTTAAACCTCTCATATCTATCGTATCTTTCGTAACGTGTTGACATAGAAGTCTAAAGCTTTTTAGTGATATTTCTTTGGGAAATTAATGTGAAGCGCACACATTATTTAGTGGCAGTATCTTTCCTGTCAATGTGTCGAGAATGTAACACCTTTACCCTGCGGGTGCAGGCGTCGTCCGCAACAGAAGCTCTACAAGGCTTGAATATATACATGTTCTATGCCAAATACAAAAAGAGCAGGGTGATGTGCTTTGTTTTTGTAATCATTACGTGACTATTTTGTAGAATATCTGACTGCTGTGTTTCCCGATATGTTCGACTGGTATCTGTATGCTTTATGGTATTCTGTGACCTTGAGCCAGGCTGCCTGTAAAATTGTAGTTTCTAAGTGCACGCATTCCTGGCAATAATCAGAGTGGCGGCTATGTTTTGAAATGATCATAACAAAGGACGGAATATCTATTTTTGGTGCTTTTCATAAAAACTTACAGGGCCGCTTAGCATTCGCATAAGGTGAGAACGATGGTTTAAACGATCTCTTTCTTCTTAGTCGATATATTTATTGATCTTTACTCGCTGAACTTTGAAAGCTTTTGGAACCTCACCTGTTTTTGACTGCCTCTGTGATCAGCGTACGTTCGACCAATCTACAATGTCTCGCGAGGAAGTCATTACGTGATGTCACGTTATGTGACGGTGTTGTGGCGATATAATGACACCGTTAATGTTCGCATTCTTTAACATCATAGCGACTTCATATACTGACGTAATCACGTAATCATTTTTTCCATCGCTCGTGTTGATGCTTACGGTAAATTTACACGTTTGATGATGCGTATAAGGCTTCCTCCTTACAACATTTCATACCATCTTTTAAACAATTCTTTTGTGGTTCGCTCAGCGTTGACCTCTTGCGATGAGGTTGCGCTATTCTTAATGACATTTTTTTGGCTAAATTAAAAGCGATCGAGTGGAATGTGCGCAACGCTGTAAAACAAAGAATAAGAAGAAAGGAAAGAATGTACACAGAAAGTAAAACTGTATTTTTTTCATTTGGTTCCTCACTTTTTCACGTGAAATAAACTGGTCCTAACAGTATGACGTGAATGAGCAACGCAGTTTGATAACAAAATTTCTGAATGCTTTTCACGCTATCTCTTCACAGACGAATGGCACATTCACCCGCGTGACTAGCCAGGTGCTCGAGATGTTGCTGACGGACGACTTGACCTTCAAGGTGCTTTCCGAAGGTCAGAGTGAACTGCGTGGCCGAGTGAAGCAGCGACTCTACTCGGACGCCTTTCTCAGTGGTGAGCACATTCGTACCCGTTTCACAATGAATACGCGAACGCTATCTGGTTATGTGCAGTGCATCATCGCCAATGTTCTTGTTAAAATGTATCTTGCTCTGATGAGACCCTCTCCACCTGTTTTCAAATTAGTCATAATAATAATAATAATTGTTAGGGTTTCATTCCCTCAAACAATGATATGATTATTAGGAATGCCGTAGTGGAGGGTTTTGATAGGTAGATTGCCACTATCCCTCAAGAGGAAGGTATATAACAGCTGTATCTTGCCGGTACCTAGCTACGGAGAAGAAACCTGCAGACTTACAAAGAGGGTTCAGCTTAAATTGAGGACGACGCAGCGAGCAATGGAATGGGAAATTGTAGGTGTAGCCTTAAGAGACAAGAAGAGAGCAGAGTGGATTAGGGAACAAACGGGGGTTAATGATATCCTAGTTGAAATCAAGAAGAGGAAACGGACATGGGCCGGGAACGTAGCGCGTAGACAGGATAACCGCTGGTCATTAAGGGTAACTAACTGGATTCCCAGAGAAGGCAAGCGTGTTAGGGGGAGAGAGAAGGTTGGGTGGGCAGATTAGATTAATAGGTTTGCGGGTGTAAATTGGCAGCTGCAAGCACAGGACCTGGGAAAATGGGAGAGGCCTTTGTCCTGCAGTGGACGTAGTCAGGCTGATGATAATGATGATGAGTGGAGGGTTTGGGAAGTTTCGACTACCTGAGTTTTTTTAACGTGCACCTAAATTTAAGCATGCGGGTTTCCAGCATTCGTATCCACCGCAAGGTGACTGCCGCGTCTGTTATGCGGGCCCGTAGCTGCCAAATTAGGCATGGCTAAACACGAAACTGAAAATTATGTGTGTGTTCATGTCCCTAGCTACGAGCCCAACCGTATGTATGGAATAAAAAAACTAGTGTTACTACTGAAGAGCTATGACTCCAGCTTGCTTTGTTAGCGGATGTAATCTGTTGACTTGCTAACGCTGTTTATGTTTGTTACAATATGCTCCGAAAAATAACAGAACTCTACAATACTCACACTTTTGTTATTGTGCCCCGGTACATGAGGTCATTAATCAGCTAATGATATGTTGAAAAAAAAAGACGTATTTTCGATGCGTATTGAGCAAAGCCCGGTGGAAGGGGGTAACCGTCACCAAAAGATGGCGACAACAACTTCATTTTTTATTATTTATTAAAAAAGTCATTATATAGAGAACATTGTCAAGTTTTTATGGCACTTCAAGCTTGCGTTTCCGCGCTCTACTGTCTCTTCAAGCAGAGGCCCCTGTGCTGCTTATGTCTGAGGGTAACAGTTCGGCGGCGGGTCAAGCGTGGCTGTCGGTGGACAAGTCGTGCAGGCTTCACTACTCAGTCTTCGTCTCGGGACTCGAGCCTAGCGAAAGACATCTCCTCGAGCTCCTCGAGATCACACCAGCTTACAACGTGATGCAAAGCGCACGCAGCGTCCAGAGGGTTCTACAAAGGATCACCGGAGACGAGGTAAGGGATCGCATCAGCGTAGCAATATTGCTACCTTAAAGTGGCAGGAAAGGGAAGATAAAAGCTTGCGATAAAAAAAATAGCCGACGTTTTTTTCAATGGTAGTATTGGACGGGACGGCTTTAGGCTCTCCCATAGTCGAGTACTAACTACTCGAAATCGTTAACCACTTTTTTTCTAGACAGATGCATGCATTCGCCTTGCGAAACTGCATCGAAAGGAGATTTCCCGACAAAGAACCAAAATTGACATTGCACTTTAAAGCTAACTGAACTATGTTGCATTCGTCTCCATTTCAATGTTTCAGCCTCTTGAACAGTTATACACTTGCATGACTGTATTCTTAGATGTAGTTTGGAATAAGCAGCATCGCATTCAGCTGAGTCGACTTTTTTGCCGGCTACCCCACGTCAATAGGCTTCCTTACAACGTAGTAGGGTCCTCATTCCACGTGGTAGGGGTACTGCGTACCTATATTGTACTCCGAATTTCGGCACAGCGAGAACAGTCTTACAGTCTCGGTGCAATCAGCTCTCCATCAATGCTCGCGCCTCACCGCTAGCATAGTGTCCCACTGCTGTATGTGTTGCAGATTGTTCCCCACTAATGTAAATATTGCAATAGAATACAGTATTTAAGAAGATCGTTCACAGTACACTTACAAGGTAGCACGGCCTGCTAAGACGGAATAAAATATTTAGCTGCCGCATCTACGACGACTGTGTAATGGCGCTAATAGGTTTGTCAGTTGTCTTTCCTGGCTGGTGATCTTAAAGAAGCGAGTGTTAGCCGCACATATGTGGCCAACCCACCTATCAGCTGTGGTCTGCAAGCTGTGGCTGTGCTACGATGTTTTATGAATGCTCAGCTGGAAGACACCCTTGAAGAACCAAGCACGGCGACTCTGCACCGACTCAGCGGCGGCTCTTCGTACTTACTGGTCACCTCGAAGTCGGGAAAGTTCAAGCAGGTCGAGCTGCGAGGACACATCAGAGATGTGAGTAAAAGAAAAGAAAAAAAGTTGTTAGCATTGCTAAGGACTGCGATTTATTTCCCTGCGTCGGTCTAAGATAGTGCAAAGCCAGAATTTCTGTACATGCGTGTGAGACTAAGCTCTAAAGCGGTGTTTTAACGCCATTTTCTTTCCTTTCATTCTTATCAAAATCAACAAATCATGAAACTTTCCCAACCTGCCTAACAGTGCTACTTTGTGAAGCGTGCTTTGCCGCAATAATAATTATACAAAGGAGAAGTAGACTTCACTCATGAGGACATCCCCTCTGATAGTATTCGCTGGTAAAGCGGGCTTTACATCAGTAATACTCTTACTGAGGAGAAGTACCTAATTTGAGCGAGAGCAGTTAACAGTAGGTATGCGTGTGGGCTGGATCTATTTATCCGCGTGATATTTATTGCCACGACGATTTCTAAGCCCTGTAAGTACATAACATATGATTAAACCATTGTGCACTTTGTAAAACATTGTCTCAGACTGCCAGAACGAAGCGGACGGTATCGGAGCTGCGCTACTAATGCTTCCTCAAGAAATATTATTGCGATAGCAATTATATGGACAGTCTCGGCTGGTGCGCTAGACTTATTTTTGTGCGGAGTGAACATCGCCTCTCCGGCTGGGGTCGCCTGCGCGTGCGCGCTTATCTCGTGACCGGGCGCTTATGGTTGCCGCGCTATCGCGGCAACAATCAACGTGTGGTTCTCGCCTACACAGCACGCGGCAGATTCTACAGGCGGCACTCTCAGCATAAAAAAACGGTGGCAAAAGCGTACTTTGAGTGGCCGTCCGCATACAAATGCGCTCTACACATAACAAACTGCCACCAGCGCCGACACACGACGTATAGGCTTTAGTACCAGTCTGCGCTGCCCATGGGAGGCGTTTCTCAGTGACACCGTCTCTATGCACGAGCCTTTTTGTGGTCATCTACTGTGGTGACGTAGAAAACTTGGTTACTTAGCAAGCGCAGGTTTACTACAGTTAATATTGCTCCTAACAATGCTAGCCTTGTTTCGTGAAAAAAATCGAGCATGATGCTATCACATTCATTGCTTTACCTTATTTGCGAAAACTTGGTTACTTAGCAAGGGCAGGTTTTGCTGCAGTTAATGTTGCTCCTGAAAATGCTAGCCTTCCTTCGTGAAAAAAGTCGAACATGATGCTATCACATTCATTGCTTTACCCGATTGGCCCGATTGGCGAAACTGACTTTTTTTCTGTCTGTCTGTCTGTCTGCCTATATGTTTACCTGTGAATCGTTATGATGTACTGCTTATTTTCTTTTTCTTCAACTAGATTCAAATTCCCGACAACTGCCTTCCTGGGATCACCAAGAGCGTTCCCAGGGCGGGTCCGGCAACACGGTGTTACCCGGCTATTCAAGTGACGCTGGAGGCGGCGGTGAAAACAACGAGATATACCGAATCGAGTCCAACCACAAGTGCTACTACGACGGCGAGGTGTTCGACGACGGGGCCCAGTGGATGGCGCGACACGAGGCTTGCGTCATGTGCTCCTGCCAGGCACGTCCTCCATTGTCATTGCGTCGGCGTATGCCCCCGCTCGTGTTTTGTTCTACGATCGATTCGTATAAAGAAAGTGCGACCACAATTGTACAAAATGACATTCATATGCGTTGTTTTTGTTTGCCGTAATGGCGGTTATTGTGGTGTTCCAAATAAAATTTCGCCGTTGCCGTGATGTTCCGTAAAAGTGCACACGCGATAAGATCCATCACGTCATTGGATTCGCTGTGTGATCGAGGCAAAACCTGCTAAGTGTTGCGTCGACATCATGTGGGCGGGCAGAGAAATAAGGGGCTGTCAAATGTGTGTGCGCCGTACTGGAAAGAGGTGGGGTGATGTTAGCGTGCGGCTCTCTCTTTATTACATAGTGAACAGTTAGCCGTCACAGCTTGCCAAAAGTGCGAAGCGTGTACTAATTGTGTGTGCAAACGTCTGAACGCCATGCTTCGCCTATCGCTCCAACGTTTTCTAGATATTCGTGGGATTAACTTTGCGAGGTCAACCGGCTGCGTACTGTCTGGCACAGTTTAATGCAAAGCGGAAAAACGTGTTTTCCAGAAATTCGGTGCAGCTTTAATTGTCAGCGTATGTGTGCCCCCACTGTACGGTGTTTTGGTAGCCTTCGCTTTATGTCAGCTTCGGCATTCACTTATGACAAATTGTTGGTCGCACTAACCATTCATGCGGACTCCTGCTTCACTTAAAGTGATCTATTTTTTTTAATCCTTTATGTTACTTGGGACGGAGTGGAATCGAAAATAACTTCATTGTGTCCCGCGGAACGTGACCGGGCCACGCGCCCAGCTCAGTTTTAATCTTTTCCATTACCCTGGTGCTCGTATTCCACGTTTAGCGGATCAAACAGCAGTTCAGTGGCTGATACTGCGAAGCTACGTCACGCACCCTTTGTACAGTATGCAGCAGACACACGCAGCACAGACGCAAACATCCTAAATAGCATGACGTAGTTCAGTAAAATGCTCTCGATTTTTCTTCTTGTTTTATTTTTGTCAGCTTCAACCAAGAGATCTCCGACCATATGCCTCTCTGATTAAGCTCCCTGCCTTATTTTCTTTGTTTTTTTCGTCTCTGTCTCTCATCATGTGCAGAAGGTGACAAGTAAATGTGTGTTTTATTGCATTTCACATCCTGTGGGCTGCTTTCACGCCTCCCGGTGTGCTCATGAAAGTATTCCTCGCTTCTCAATGTTACAGAGAGGCCGTCTGTTACAGAGAGCCCGCCACTAAGCTGCTCCGAAAAAGATGCTTATAGAGAAAATGCCCTGTCGTGCTGCAAAAAAGTGTCCCAGTAAGTGCTGATCGAATTTCAAAATTGCTTCTCGAAAGTTGAACTGGCAAGTTTTACGTATAGTGCAGTTTTATATTATTGATAGGTCGTGTTCGTTTGAAGTACAAAACATAGCTTTTTTTTTTGTTCAAACCACCACAACTTCAGATTGCTACTGCTGAATGCTATTATAGGTATTATTGTGTAATTCTTCATTAATCTACGGTTGTCATTTATTGTTGCCAGTTTTCTTGATTCAGTGAAATGGCTCAAATTTGTTCTTTTTTCTTCAGCCTTGTTCAGAGATTTGGTGTTTTCGTTCTTGGAACAGATGTGATTCCTGTGAAGTCTCAAGAGGAAAGTGTACCAACACAGCTTCATGATCAAGGATCGAAAAAGACACCAAAAGACATTTTATCAAGTGGAGGTAATTCCTAAAAGCAGTTCTCAATAAAGCATTTTGTGTCACAGCCAATGAATTCGCCCACGTAATGCAGCAGTCGCACACAGGCATCTGTGTCAAATCAAACTTTCAGAAACGTCACATCCTCAGTATTTATTGTTGAACATTGCAGACTTGCCATAATCTTAAAAATAGGTTTTTTTATATGCATTTAAACATTAATGGTAAAAAGGCTGAAAATTCCTCTCCATGAAGAAAATTCACAGAAAAGGCGCAAAATCTTCTTTTGATCTTGGACTCCATTTATTTTAGATGTTTAGACGTTTTGAGCATGGCACCACACTATCACCTAAGCACTTCCAGAGCTATATCGATCTGCCCGCACCAGTGTGCTCTTTAAAGAGATGATATGTCCTTCGAGAATGACATCGAAGCCCTGCAGTACGCACTTTGAACAATGAAAATTTCTCAGGAACTCTCTGATTGGTGTGCGTGTATGGTTCACATTAATTGCCTTAAACACTAGATCAGCTGCATGGAAATTCAGGGAAACCTTAGTCTTATAACTTTATAGCAGTATATTATGTCTGCCATAATGTGAGTTTTAGAACAAATTACCAAACTGGAGCTCCGCAAAAGTGTTGACATTTGCAAATAAACCAAATGCACCCAACTATTTAGTTGCACTTGTTGTTTAAGGGTTCACGTCCTACACAGCTCACTTCTTATTTACGGCTAGTGCAGCTTGCAGCTAGCTCACTGCTGGCTTTTTTTTCCCTTTGTGACAGCTTTTTTTTGAAATTTAGTGGTCACACCATTGCCGGTGCTGACCATTGTTGGCTGACTTATTTGACATTAGAGTCCAGGTGCTTCTGAATCCGAATAACGTAGTGTCGAAAAATTAACCTTTTTTTCAACAGGACGGCAAATCTCGGTGCAGAAGGCAGCGATGCGCCAAGCTGTCATGTCCAATAAAGTTCCAGAAAGAAGACGAGTGCTGTCCGCGCTGTGCTGACAATGGTAATTATTACGGAAATCACTGTTTTAAAGCCTTACACAAAAGGAGTATTAGTCGTACTACTCTACACGAGGTTACTCGTGGTGCGATCAAGAAACAACAATGACGGAGTCGTTAATGGACGATCTCTTGTGACAGTAATCGCGAGGTATAAAACGTGGACCATCTCCCCGAAAGGAACCGTGTTGGGATGCGAAGCAGCAGCGTTACGCACGGATGGTACCACGGGTTGAACGGCGCTAACACGGGTGCTGCGGGGAGCGATAGAGGCCGGCGCAGCCCAGCGCTTGCGCGCGAGCACTTCGGCGGAGGGCGCGCGGCGCTTTCGAGACGTTTCCGACGGCAGCGCCGTCGAGGATTCTCCAGCCTTCCGCTGTCGGCGCTTCCGCTCGGCTTCCTTGGCTCACGTCTCGTAGATGTTGCCGACCCCTTGAATACGCTTGCGTTCGGCTTCCCTGGATCGCGCCTCGTTGGTGTTGCAGGCCCGAGTCGATATTCACGAAAGTGATCGGCTGTGTCAACCCTCGCAACGCCGGCAACGGCTGGCTTAGGCCAAATCGCTTCGACGCATGTTTCGGCGCGCGAAGGAGCTTCGCTTTCGGGCGTCCTCGCTATTGCAGGTAAACAAGCGAAAAGACTGTTCACTCGATGTGCCCTCGAACGTTACGAGCGGTGGAAAGGGTGAAGCGAGAGAGATGCCACGCGCCGAGTTGCGACAGGCTATGGAGAGAGTGACGTAAACGAGCGCACACTGCAAGGGAAGGCGTGACCTACTTGGCACAACCCCAATACCTGCGGCCAGGGGAGCGTGGTGCGGACGAAGGGGAAGCGTTGCACAGGCTAGTCAAAGAGCTGCTTCGCATCTAAAAATAACTGTATCCGGCGTGTTCCTGTGCCTGACATACCATGTCAGTATAATCTAGTTTCCAGTTCGGCTACATGATTCGTGGCGGTGATGACAGTAGACAAAAGCCTGCTTCTTTTCTGCTTGTTTCAATTTTTGTGTAGGCTGAAACCGAGAGAGGTGCAATAAACATTACTTGCATAAAAATGGTATACTAAAACGTTTTTCTTGTTTCCGAAATTCACACACATGTGGTGCTAAGTGTGTCGTGTTATAGGGGGAGCTAGTAATTGAAGTATTGAATGACTAAGTTCATATGTATCTCAAGGAGAGATGTCAATGCGAGCCTCTAGCCACATGACTCCCATTTGACTGTTTGTGTATCCTAGAATGGTGTGCATCAGTACAGTTGGACTTAAACCTCATCTGACTTAGCTTCGTGTGACGGGCCAATGCAGCTTTTTCTTAAAGCGCGAGCTGCCATTGTCGACATCTCACCGATAGTGAATGCGTTCGCAGGTGAGGGCCGAACCGGAGACAGACCTCCGCGGAGGACGGGACGCAAGCGCAAGACCCGAGGCGGGACGCCGTGGAACTGAGCCGGAGGCCGATACGGGTGTCCCTCCCAACACGGACTGTCTCACCAAAACACCACCGGAACGCGCGAACACGAGCAGCTGAGCGAACAAAAGGTGGGAGAGAGCGAAAGAAACCAAGAGACGGGTGGTTGAAAAGCCTGGCAGCTGTACATTCCACCGAACGACTTCCGGCCGAATGGAAGAGTCCAACATCGTCTCCGAGGGTGAACTCCCCACCCACGTGACGATGACGCCCGCCTCTGCCCCCTCTCTTGATGGATCGCTGGCTCTCGCCACCCCCAGAAAACTTTACGCCGGAACATTGCGTGCCCGCTCCGGTTTCAATCGACTGCAAGGATCGACTGCGATTGGATACATACCCGCCCAGCGGGGTGGTGCGCCGTTTTCTTTCTCTCGCCAGTCACAACCGACTACGTCATGCGTGGTAGTGAAGTGGGTGAAAGTGGTGTGATCGAAGGAACCAAATGTGAAGGGGTGAGGGGCATCGTCAGTCATATGTAGCTGCGCTGGTGGCTTGTTCTTCCTCTTGTGGTGCTGCGTGCCGAACTAAGCCTCCCTGACTGCTTCGATGGACACACCGTTATTTTGTTTCGACACGAATGTCTCTAGCTACCACCATACCCTCCCTCTCACTCTCGTGCCGGTGTTACGAGACGTTGTCCAGTGCGTGATTGGCGGAGTAGAGGGGGAGTTACCACCGAGCGGAGTGCAGCGGAATACTCAAAAAAATACCAGCTGCGAACTTTGACTAATCCAGCTTCTGTCGCCATCTAAGCAAGCCAAAGTTTCCTCCACGAGCTTCGTCCAACATCCTGAAAAAAAAAACGAAGAAGTGTGACACAGTGATGACGAAGCTCTTCTTCTTTGACTCTCTTGTTTCAGTGCAACTATGTGCGGCTTCTCCGTGTAATGTAGAAAAAAGGTGCCCACATTAATGAAAAAAAAGTGTGGTGTGAAAGTTGTCATGGCGCTTGCAAGAGTATGGGAACGAGCAGGTTGCTAATAGCCCGTTTTCTTCAAGATCTTTTTAGTATACTTTTTCGGGCTCTAATAAAGGAGGACTTATCCGACATCTCTCCAGCTTCTTGTCGAGGTAATATGTTTAAGTGATGTTCATTTTTAAAACTGCTTATGCACTGTATTATTTATGCATTTCACATCTAAAGCCCTCTTAACGAGAATTTTTTGGTGGCACTTAGTGACACATTGAAAAATGGCATCGCTGCTTTCCAGTTCCATCTTACTCTGAATATTGATGCTCATACTTCTAAGCTGCAATGCTGAAACTGCTTTAGACCAAAGACTAGATAAGGCAGCAGACTAGGCTGGGCTGAATTGGTCTCATATCTCATTCGTCTGCTGTTGTTTGCCTCCTACTCTAAATTTGAAAGACCAACCTTCGTAGTGTACCTTTCTTCTAAAGCAAGCTACCATTGCTGATGCTATCACTGTACCGGATCAGGCACGTTAGTAAAGTTTAGCGTCATGATAATAGTGATAAATAATAGTATCAATGCTATACTAATACTACACTAAAACATATCACTTTGCCTCTTATTACGAGTTGAAATAATTCAGGACGACTGTTTTTAACTGGGCTATTTGTAGTGCAGACGCGTTCGCCAAATGTACTTTCTAAGCAAACCTGTGACGAGCTCTGTTGTCGGTCGTTGTGGGTGGGGCCCACGGAATGGCTTTTTGCTCTCCCATGGTAGAGTACCAGGTACTCTTAATTGTTAACATATTTTTCGAAACACACATCAATAACACATTGCTTAATGTGCAAACGTGTTATAGCGATGATATCGCGTGACCTTTTATTATTATTATTTTTTGCAAAGCACCCAGCCAGCTTATGTCGTTGTGTACAGGGTGACCGGTTGCAGTAGCTGCGCCGCAACGATTGCCTAACAAGGAAGCCAAAATGGTAACCAAAATGGTAATTTTTTAGCGTTGCTCAGTTTATATGTTAACACGGATGACGCCGTTTCGTCAAAATGAAATCGTCGTGTGAAAGCAGTGATAGCATAACTAGTTCACTTCTTGATGACTCTCTTCGGGTTAGCATAAAAGCAGAGACCTGTTTTCCGCAAAGCACAATGGGTAGATGAACTGGGCAGAACGAAATGGCATTGGATCTTTTTACTGAATAAAGCACGAGTATATAAGTACCTACTGAAACGCTCAGTAGGTCATTACAATTTTTCACGTGTTTTCCGCAAGACTCTTAGGGAAATAAGTGGATTCCGTTCGGAAACATGAAGTTATTGGAATGAGACTTCCCTATGAACGTACCTTATAGCTACTTCATTCACAGTAAGATGGCTTCACAGAAGACAAAGTTACCTTCACTGAACAGACAAGAACTAAGAACCAATTGTATACATTGCATTGTGGTGCCTTCTACAGTGTACCACACGTCAGTAGCGCCCTCTAGCGAAACTATGCAGCAGTGGTGGTGAATCATGGTGGGTCAACACGTATCAACGACCATTGGCTTGTTTTTTTTTTGCGAGAACATAGTCGCAACTGCAGCTATAGCTGAACTCTATAATCAGCTCAAGGAAAACCACCTATTGCGGCATTTTTTTAGATTCTCGATATGTTGTATTCCGTGCGTGTTTGACATGGAATGATACTTGTGTAATTTTTTATAGTGTCTATTTTCCAATTCAAGCAGCCCCAACGTGCAGCTGAAGTTGTGTTCAGAGGAAGCCTTATGTCGGTCATTGTTTGTTTTTATTGAAACGTAAAAAGAGAAGCTAAATTTGCAAGAAACGCGTCCATGAATGAACGCGACTTACGAGATGGCAGTAAACGGTAATGTCTTTCACTTACTGCAAAGAACAATGTTGCTGCCCGTGTGTATTCTTGACGAAGTGGATTCGCGAAAACATGCAGTCACTGAATCAACAGACATTTATCAAATAATGCTGATAGAAAAAAATGGCCAAAAGATAAAAGCAAGACGCCAACCCAAAAAATTGCCCCCACCTCCGCGAAGGGGATCGTGAGAGAATGCGAATGCATTTCTTGCGCCGAGAGTACACGACGTAGTAATTTTAATACTGTAAATTAAGGACGAGACCATCATTTGTACCGTAAACGTTTCACTACACGTTCATCAGACAGTGAATGGTCGAAACTCGAGAGCGAGGCGCGTGCTTCACTACATTTATATATAGGTACTACGAGCAAGCAGACAGGAGAGTGCGGAGCAGGAAGGAGAGAGAGCGAACGTCGAGAGAAGGAGTAGTGAAGCACTGACCTACCCTCTCCTACACTATCTGCACACACGGGGGAGTGCCGCCAAGCTACCGCGACGCGAGAGGCCTCACACGCTAGAGCGCGCTCCTCCTCTCCACTCGCTCTCCGATACTCCACCCACATTACTAGCCCCGGTGGCGAGGAGCGAGGAAAAGCACGCGCGCCCACAGCTGTTGCTATCGGAGAGGGAGTGAGAGCGGCGAGATAACACCTGCCGACGCGCGGACACCGACAGACGCCTGACATGCCCCGACTAAGAAATGCCTTCGCATTTAAAACACTAAAAAAATGGCACACACGTGTCGACCTCGTGCGAAACATCATTATTCCCGACCGCGCGAGCTTTCGTCCAACTCTTGCGTTCAGAAAAAGAAAATGTTGCACCCGAGTGCAGCTTTCTCTGATCACGCGGCATTTCTCAAATAGTGACGCGTATGTAAGCGTTTTATTATGGACACTGTTTACGTAATGCGTACACTTAACTACGTACATTTTATGCAAACATCTATTCGGCGCGGGGATATTTGACCTCGGGCATCCGGCACATAGAGTGCATCATCTCAGCTTTAATAATTTTGTTATCCATGAGCGAGTCCCTGTTTGTTTTACGCTGATTATTCTCACAAAGGCGTAGGGAGTGGGCGCGCATGTTGCCTCATTTGTTATTTATTGTGTTACTCCCATTCGCCTTTGGCGATTTAAAGAAACGGCCCCTGCTGTGGGTCTGATTCTGCGTTACATCTCTTTTCAACTTCTTTATTTTTTGTTTTACCTTCCCATTTTTTATTGTATACGTCTTCACGTGCACTAAGCTTGATTTCACCCCCCGAAACAACGGAAAATGTGGGATGAAAATCCGAGAAACATTATTCCGAGTAAAACATTCAATTATTCATTTATGCTTCTCTCACTTCTAGACAAAAATGACCGGCGAAAAAGGTTTTGCTCTAATTTTCTCACAGAATAACCAAAACATTTAGTGTCACAAGTAATCCCTTATGCATAACATTATGATTAAAATTGAAAGGTAAGGTTATGTAAGCAGCAGGACATATCTGTCGTGGCTCGACATTGGCGTTTACTAAGAATATTAAAACTTGAAGAAATTAGTAAAACATCGCGTTTCATCTGAATGTGTACAGGAAGAAATATGAAGCTAAGATTTATTATCGCTGATGCATAATACACTGTTTCCTACAAGCTACTCTCTCTACTTTTCTGCAAATAAATACATTTCTAACACGCTTAACCATCTTCACCCATACTTCGTCACTTAGGATGTACGGCAAGACCCATTTTGTCTTGAAGTCTGCGTAAGTGCAGTTGGTTGTTTGTCTTTCACGTTCGGAACTTCCAAGTGTATAGAGGCAAGGGTACGCAGTGTATTAAGATGTCATCCTTAATAAGTCACCCCTGCTTAGTGACTGGGGTTGCAGAAAGATATTGTGAACAAAAAAAAACATACAGTGTCAGTCTGCTGCCATGAATGTGCCAATTTTGTAGAATCCGTGAGCGAATGGTTAGGTTGTGTTGAAATTCAGCACAGTGTTTTAGAGCTCAGCAGATTGCTTTTTTTGTTTTTGTTTCTGAACGCTGGCCTGGTCTATTCTTTTCCGCTGTCGCGTCCCTGCTAATTCTGCAGCGCTCATTTTGGCGAACGCCAATTGAAAGACGCAGCTGGACCATAAGCCTAAGGAAGGTCAGATGCGTTAAAAAATTATAAATAACGTGCTAATGAACAATGGCTTGTGAAATATCAGTTCATCTTGGCAGTATGCTCATCTATATAAAAACAGTGCTTTGAACAATGCTTTTGATTTTCGCGCGCCTTATTTATAATGTATGTGATGTTCAGTGTTGTTCTTAAACGCGCCTCTTTTTCAATACGTATGGAGTATGAGCTGTATTGTTTTAACTGAATGCCCGTCTTGTAGAATCTTCGTCCACTGGTTGCATCGGTCACCGTGTTTTCTTTGTACTGTTTTCTGGATCGCTTTTAGAGAACGGGTGCCCGTGATTGCACATCCGACACGGTTTTCGGATGAAGAAGAGACGAAAAAAAAATGGCAGTGAGTAAAGACGAAGAGAACTAAAGATTATTATTGAGAATAAAATAAAGTAACTATTGTTTGTCTCTGTGTGCGTATCATTTCCGCTCTGGCTAATGCCAAGTGCCTCGGTGAGAACTGTTCTCCACCAGTGGTGTTGTCACTCTTCGCTTCGATGGCGCTCGAGATGGCATTCACTAGAAACCGCGCATTGCAGCTTGCTCCCAGTCAATCGATAAACAGCATTTGCTTGGAATATTTACTGTCCGTTTCGCAGCCACTTCGCGGAGGACCAAGGCTGGTGAAAATTGCTTGCGCTTTTTAAGCACGACTTTCACGGGTTCAGTATCACATCGGCGCAACAGCTCAGGAGTCACACGAAAAGCAGTCTGGGTAATTGGAGCTTAGAGCACAGAGTGATCTCCATGTTTTTCTATTAATAAAGTTGAAACATCGACAGATCGAGGTGGTTCTCTGAGACAGTTGACTCGCGTAGAGTATAGCCAGAAAATGTTGGAATCAAGATTGGCTCCAAAGCGTCGGTGTTTATTTTTTTGTTGTACGAAATGGGTTGAACAATAATCATTATCATTGTGTGTATGCCCTGTAATCGACAAATAAACAGTAAGGCTATACCCCACTGCTTACATCAAGTATTACCATTCTAGATTTTGATGTTTGCCGTTTAGTCTGAGTATACCTAAGGTACTCTCTGAAACAACCGCTGTTGTGACTGCTCTCCAGCGCAGACTTTTCACTAATTGTTTTATGAAACAAACAAAAAAATAAAAGAAAAAGGAAAGATTGGAGTAGGTTTCTCGGTAGCGATTGTTCTTTAAAACTATGAAATCAATACAATCGTCTGAAAAGACCAATGTTGAAAAAGAGGAAAAAGAAGAAAACAAATATCGCCTTCGAATACTGTGACCGAAAAAATCTCCTGCTGAATTCAGCACGCTTCACATATTTCAATATCAGTTATTGACACTTCGAATCAACAATTAATTATAGGTATATAACTGGTGGACGTAAGAATTACATAACACAGAAATTCTAGGATTTAAATATTTTTCCCTATTCCTTGTCAATTCTTCAGGTTGGGTGCGAACCAGAAGTCTGAATCTACATGTGTAAGGGACACGATGTGTTTTTCTACCGTTTCTTCTCTAGCTGCAAACGACCACGTGGCGGATCTGTAAGCTACACCCCGCTGTCCCCTGGCTCATCTGCCCTACATTGCCTCGTAACAAGTGCATTCTTGCTCACGAGACTGTGGCGCACGCGACCTCTTTTCATTGTGACCATGAACCATTCTTTGCGGGCCACGATCCATCATTCCTGTCCTGGCTTGTCACTGTATATAGAAGCCTTCACTCATTTTTCATACTTTTTTCAGTGCTTATCCGGCGGGAAAAAAAGTAATAATGCCACTGTTGTTCACTATTTACTTGGTCTCCTATGTGTTATCTACCTTCATGTTCTTTTCTTCTTTTCATTGACATCGCTACAGAGTTTAGAAAGCGAAAGAAAGGAGAATTATCACGGATGGCTCCCCCAATCTCTCTCTTTCTCGACGTATTTGCGTTCGCCTGTCGATGAATGACAGGGTCACAATGTAGAGCTGCTTTCCATCGCTATTCCACGTTGCCTGCCCCATCGTTGTTTTCGAGCTTGTCAGCAGAGTCCCTGTCCCACTAGAGTTTGAATCTATCTATCTATCTATCTATCTATCTATCTATCTATCTATCTATCTATCTATCTATCTATCTATCTATCTATCTATCTATCTATCTATCTATCTATCTATCTATCTATCTATCTATCTATCTATCTATCTATCTATCTATCTATCTATCTATCTATCTATCTATCTATCTATCTATCTATCTATCTATCTATCTATCTATCTATCTATCTATCTATCTATCTATCTATCTATCTATCTATCTATCTATCTATCTATCTATCTATCTATCTATCTATCTATCTGTTTATTCATCCGTCTGTCTGTCTCTCTGTCTGTCCATCTGTCTGACCGTCTGTCTATATATCGACGTACGCAGCTGACCGTTGCGAGTGTCGTTAAACCTTTTCCACCATTCATGTTTCGCAAATACTTGAATACAGTGGCTAGTGTTATTATTGCGGGTATGCAACACAGGTTATGCCCACCATATAAACCCTGGGACAGCAATAAAATGCTCAAAATACTAAGGCGATAAGGTAAAGAGTCCGTGTCGCAGGAAAGACGCTGATAGTGATGGCGGCGTGTTCGGCGAACACAAAATTCTGATGGAAACAAAGAGTGAAAATCGCAGCTCACGCCAGGATTGAACCTTGACATTCCGAATGGCAGTGAGGTATTGTACTCTATAGCCGCACCACTGCTTCAAAGTATTTCGAAAAAAAAAAAGATCGTAAGCAAGCGTTATGACGGGGCAGCGGCCACTGTTTGTAGATTTGGGCGATCCGCTTACAGAATGTGTTTCAGCTAAAAAGGACTAAATATTAAAAATAAATCATGAGCACTACGCGTCTCCAATCAGCACAGTATCGTTATGAGCCATATAGAGCCCGTCGGGATAGTTTCAGCATGATAGAGTTTTGTCAGGGTCCACCACG